GGAATGACAAACTCCAAAGCACTGAATTCTTCTCCCTGCCCGCTTGCCCCTTCGCGCAGCGGCGGCGGCGCCACACTCCGCCGGGACCCACAGTCCACCTCAACCAAGCCACAGGCGGCGGCGGCGGCGGCTGCGGCCGGACAGGAGGGGGCGGGACCGCTGCCTCTCTGGTAGCATCTTTAGGGTTCTGTATGTATAGTATCATGTCATCTGTGAACAGTGACAGTTTTACTTCTTCTTTTCTGATTTGGATTCATTTTATTTCTTTTTCTTCTCTGATTGCTGCGGCTAAGACTTCCAAAACTATGTTGAATGGTAGTGGTGAGAGTGGGCAGCCTTGTCTTGTTCCTGATCTTCAAGGAAATACCAGCCATTGGGCCGGCGGGCTCCGGGGCCAGAGCGGCCTGCTCGGCCCCCGCCAGGTTCCGGGCCATAATTGGCTGGGCTGAGCCCACGCCCGGGCGTTAATTGGCAGAACGGCACCCCGGGCCCCGCCTCTCACGCCCAAGTTCCGTTAGCAGGTTCGGTTGCTCCCGAATTCCCTCTCTCCGACGGGATGGGCCCTCTGGTGGGCTCCTCCTCCTTCACGCAGCGACCTCTGACCCGCGGGGAGGGGCCAGGAGAAGACTGGCGGCTCGTTCCACGTTTGAGAGCTCTACTTTCTTCTCATTGGTTGACAGGCGTCCCTCCGGTCGCTTATTTCCAGTCCCGGACGCAGCGCGATGACGTAGCTTCCCCGACATTCCACGTCCAAGATGGCCGCAGTCAACAAGGAGAGACGTTGCTAAGGGGCTTGCCTGAGGCGAGGGGTGAGTGACCGACGCACCGCGGGCAGCGCCACTCAAGTCCCGCGTACCTAGAGGTCGGATTAGGGTGTGGCCACCTGCCTCCATCCGCTGGCGGAGTCTCTCTTTCCGGATTCCGCCTCCCTCCGCTACCCCTCGGGTGCAGATCGAAGTTAGCCGGCGACGGCGGGGCCGCGAGACGCGCTCCGGGAGAGGGTCTGAGGCGCAGGAGAGGGTCAGGGAGACCGGCGCGGACCGTAGAGCAGGTCGCGACGCTCCAACTGAGGGGCGGTTAGGGTTCGGGGACTTTCTGGAAGGTGGGGAGAAAGGGCAGGGGTCTTATGCGCGCACACGCTCAGCGGTACAACCGAAGACTACCCACGTCTTTCCGGTTATTTCGCAGTGTGTCGGTCCCAGCCTTGGTAACGCCTGAGACTTTGGGTATCGTTCCACATCTGGGGTATTCTGACTTCGGAATCTGAAGACCCGTGTAACAAGGGTGGGACTAGGAATGAGGAAAATGCACTTCCGCGGTTAGTTTCGTTCTTGCCGACACATCGCGCTTACCGACCCTCTCCTGGGTTGTTTGGTTTGTTACCAGAGGAATTGTTCTTTAGAAGGTTGAGGCGTAAGGCAAGAGGATATCTAAAAGCTCTCAGACTATTCCCCGCACAAAGCATGGTCGGTAGCGCTCCCGAAATTTGGCTTGCCAGTCAAACGGAGCTTTCGCTAAATCTTCTGACGTTAGGAACGGCTTCTCACAGCATTTAGTTGAAGGTGGCCTGTTTTTAAGGTAAACTTGATAATGCTTGTGTATCTCTTGTGTATCGTTAAAGATACCTAGCACACTACCTTGCAATTCTGGCGCTGGTTAAGGTTTGTATGAATGATGTTGCTAGAATGAAAGCTCCACGAAGGAGCTTTATATCCTCAGCACCTAGAGCACTGCCTGACAGATAGTAAACTGTCTTCATTGCTGAATGAATGGATGATGATGGTAATAGTTGCGGTATTGATAGACATTTGGTTAAGATTCTTAGTGTTCTTAGATGCCTGCTTGTTAAATAATCTTGACTATGAATGTAATAGTTATCCGGGATTGCTTTGTTTTTTCAGACTACCGTTGGGGTCTAATTTTAGTTTTGTTTTTTTTTTTTTACTTTTGTCTCATTTTGATTATCTTTTGATGCTTTGTTGAGAAATATTAGTTGATTCTTGCATAAAGCATGTTAAACATTTGTTCCATTTTGAAAACGTAGTTTACACCAACAAGCAATAAAGAAACATTTTAATTGCCAATGAGATCGTTAAATCTTAAATGCCATTTCTAAAATTGAACGTCATAAGGAAAAGCAATGGTCATAGTTTTGGCTTACAAAATAAATTGTTCGTTTCAGGAGATTATATTTGAAAGCAATGAGAATTTGCTAAGTATCTAGAAGGAAAAATGTTTTGTTGTCTCTAAAACTAGGTCAAGACAAAATCAAGAAGGATTAAGTTCAAGGTAATTGAGGAGATATAAAGAATATCTAATTGGATTATATCTAATTCTATTTTCAGGGTCAAATAAATGATATACCAAAATACATGCAGATAAGATTGTGAAATTATTGTTCATAGGCTTTGAGGAATCTTAAAAGTGCAGTTAATGATAGAAGACTGGAGTCTGATAAATGTGTCAGTTTTTGCGGAGAGCAATTAGGTGGCTTTGGATGCTAGAGCTTATTAGTAATCTCTTTTAGAGTCTTGTTGGGACAAGAAGAGAGCTTCTAAGTACTTGGGAAAGAGGGCTCATACCCTCAAACCAACAGAGCTTCAATTTAAGAAAACCAGGTGACAAAAATCATGTTTTCTTTTGTTATAAGTTTACTAGACTGGTGGTGGATGGGGGATTGCTAGACATGAGTCCATTTAGATTTCCTTAGGACACTGAACATAATCCCTCTTCCTATCCTAATAGACACAAGAGAGAAGTACACTGGGTAAGGTCTGGTTAGATGGATATATGTCCACTCAAATTACCAAACCCCAAATGTTGATTAATGGGTTGATGTCAACCTGAAGAGAGGTCTTTAGAGATAAGTTGCAGGGCTCTGGCCTTGCCCTTACTCTGGTTAGCACTTTTTTTTTTAATTACCAACTCTAAATTTATGAGGCATGCTTCTCAAATTAATAAATGCACTCAAAACCTGTAGTGATAGTTAGTCAGTATGTTAGATGGCACTCAGGATTCAAGAGTTCTTAAAGGCTGAAATTATAGACCAAAACTAACAAGATGTAAATTTGCCAGGAATTATTAAATTTATCAAAACTCAGTTGTGGGACTTCCCTGGTGACACAGTGGTTGAGAGTCCACCTGCTGATACAGGGGACACGGGTTCGTGCCCCGGTCCGGGAAGATCCCACATGCCGCGGAGCAGCTGGGCCCGTGAGCCATGGCCGCTGAGCCTGCGCGTCTGGAGCCTGTGCTCCGCAACGGGAGAGGCCACAACAGTGAGAGGCCCACGTACCGCAAAAAAGAAAAAGAGAATAGATATTTCTACTCTGTATTTCCCCGCTTTTCTTACTTAGATGCTAACATAGCTATGTATGCTTTCCTGCACCTTGCTGATCCTGGAAATTTCTCTATACAAGTACTTAAAGATCTTTCTCAGTCTTTTTTAATAGCTACATGGTACGCATTTGTGTTAATGTACCATATTATTCAACCAGTGCCCTAATGGACTTCCACGTTGTTTACAGTTTTTGCTGTTATAAACAATACTTTGAATGATCTTGTGCACCTGTTGTTTCATATTTGTGATCTTATTGTCAGAGTAAATACTTAGAAGTGGAATTGCTAAATCAAGGAGCAAATGTGTATGTAATTTTGTTAGATATTGCCAAATTCCCCTCTGTGAGAGTGGTTCCACTTTGTACTTCCACCAGCGACACAGGAGATTACCTGCTTTTCCCTGGCCTTGCCAACAGAGTATATTGTCAGACTTTTGGACTTTTTGCCAATCTGATAGGTGAGAAAATATATCTAGTATGACATCTAACTCCCAGCTCTTCATATTTACTGAGCATCTGATTGGGAACTCTTCATACACACTGAGGCTTTAGTTAACCGGTCTCCCCCAGCCCCCACCCGTTGTCCAGTTCAGTCACACAGAGTGTAAATTAGTTCAAGAAGGTTGCTTTTCTCCAGGTAGTACTTAATTCTTCCTGTTGGAGGGAACGTTTCTCTTTAGAGCTCCCAGGTGCAAGGAGGAGAGCGGTCAGCCCTCCATGTCACCTTTCCCACCAGAAATGAGGCAGCACACAGGAGAAGTTAGGCTTCCAGGTTAACTGATGGCCCTGGCCCAGAGCCTGGCTGCCGAACTGCTATTTTCTTGCTGAACCAGACCAACCTGGTTCTAGCTACCTCTTTTAGAACCCTTTTGCTGCCCTGTATGAAAATGTCTATTCTCTGATCCAGTTTTCAAACAATTTCCATATTATAATGGCCTCTAGGTGAGAGTCCTTATTTTTTGTTTTCTTTTCTCAGCATACAGCTTTTAGAGAATCTCTTCATTCTGAATGAAAGAGAAGAGGATGAGAAAGCAAGAAAAATTTAAAGGAACTCCTTCCTTCCCTTGTGGACCACCTCCCTCCATCCTTTCTCCCCAGATCACTGCACCCACACCTGATCTACATTGCTCAGTTCAGTGGCCTGTGCAGATATGAATTCATCCAGTCTGGTGGCTTTTCTAAGTGAAAGTACCTAAATGAAATCAAGTAAACTAAAAAAGGGAAAAATTTGACTGGATGCTGGATGGAAGAAATGGATAATTTTGGAGCATAAATCTTTTGGGAGGATTAGGACCAACCTGGGTTTTACTGAGAAACAGAATCCAGATCAGCATAAGGGAGCTGGGCCTAGTGAAAACAGGCAGAAGGAAATGAGACAGAAAAGCTCCTTCTTTTAAGCGATGAAATTTGGGATTTATCATACTGTGAGTCACTTAAGTGTTAAATTTGTGTTTGGAGGTGAGCCTGGGCTTCTACCAATCAGTAGTGCTTCTTCAACTGAAAAATTTTTATCAAGAACAAATCTGTGATCGTAGACTGTTTATAATGATTGGGATTATCTAATGTGAGGCATCCCTTTCCAACATTACTGCTGCTTCTCTTTCTTTTAGGATTCTAACATTTTCAGAAAGTCTGTTGGAAAGAACAAGTCTGCTTCAATAAATGAAGGAGAATAAAGAAAATTCAAGCCCTTCAGTACTCTCAGCAAACCTGGACCACACAAAACCATGTTGGTACTGGGATAAAAAAGACTTGGCTCATACACCCTCTCAACTAGAAGGACTCGATCCGGCCACTGAGGCCCGCTACCGCCGAGAAGGGGCTCGGTTCATCTTTGATGTGGGCACACGTTTGGGACTGTATCCTGATTCTGGGATCTATGATAGACAGACTCCCCACCATCACCACAAATTAAATTAAATGCTATAGACAAAAGACCAAGTAACATCCCTGACTAAAGCAGCTCTTAATTAGCTTTCTTATTTAAATGTTACTTCAGATTTGCTTGGCTCTTCAGGGATTTTCTATTTCCTTTTTATCATTTAAATGTGTAGAATTAGCCTTTGAGCAGGTGGCCACCAGGATGGAAAATAGCACCCAGTGACCTCAGTTGAAGTATTTCTAAAGGATAGTGAAGCCCTGCCTTACTAAAGCATGGACTTCAGCTTGTACCGGAATTCCGACACCCGGAGATTCCCATTCACCTGCTTTGCCACTGATAGTGTTTGCTTTCCCACTGCTCTTGTTGTTATTGTTTGCCTTTATTGTTTTTTCCACATTTAAATAAGATGTAACCTGTAAAAATTCTTGGCCAAAACCCTTAACCAGAACAACAGACACTATGATACCCTGGCAACTGGAATAATATATTTTCATCGCTTCTATATGTTTCATTCCTTCAAGCAATTCCCAAGATATGTAAGTGTTTGAATTTTATTATAATTTTCTATCACATATTGTTATTTCCACAGAGTTTAGTGGACAGACTGTAATCTCTCTTTTTATTTTATTTTCCAGAAAGTATTTAGTTTTGTATGGTACATATTATATATAAACAAAAACAGCCTAAAATTTATTTTTTTCCCAATTAACTGTATTAAAGTATTTTTAAGTTTTTTATTTAATCCAATATGAACCATAATCATATTGTACTTAGTGTGAAAATTTGCTTCCTTGTTACTTTTCCCAAGATAAAATTGGCCTTACAGTTGAGACCCAACAAAGGCCAAGACTGCATAGTAGTTCTTTATGCCATATCCGTTATTCTTCAGTTACTCCTTAAGACATGGACTGTCTTATGCTCTGTGGGAGAGTCTGCCTCAAGTAGCTTTCAGTCCAGGGTAGATGGTATGACAGGTACAAAACACACTGTAGAGAGTGAGGCCATAGGAGAGGTACAGAAGGAAGGCTGTAGCATTCAAGGGAGAGATGAACTACATCATAGAGGGATCGAGGAAAATGCTGGGGAGGAGGTGCCAGCACTGAGTTAAGCCTTGACTGTAAGTAGGACTTATCCGTGTGAGATGGGACAGAGCAGCAGTCCTACAGAAAGCAGCATGAGCCAAGGCCTGGCGGAGGCGTGCACGGCAGCCAGGAGGCCTATCGGCGGGAAGGGCGTGGTGGGACCCTGGGTGGTAAGGTAGGCTGAACCAGACCATAGTGGGCCTTGAATGCCAGACTAGGGAACTGTGGCTTCAGTAGGTAAACTGAAGTGATGGAAGGGTTTCATGAAGAAGAAGAATTAGATGTAACAGGAAGTTAGTCTGCTGGGGGTCTTCCTTTTGCTAAGATTTTACTTAGTTTTGTACACATCTTCCTCATTAATTTGTGACGTTCTAGGGGAAGGAGACCGTGTCAGGATCCGCTTTGTACCCCGGCACAGGATCTCACTGATGTCTAACGTGGTCAGGATTCTGTGAAGGGAGGGCCATGTAGGAGAGACTGGAGCGAGCGGGCAAAGAAAAGCTGAAGGTAGAGCAGTGAGAAGATCGCAGTGGCGTAGGAACTGGACCAGGAGCCAGGCAGCGTGAGGAAGGAAAAAGAAAGCGTGGGCAGTGGTGCAGAGGCGAATTCCAGAGGACATGCATTTGGGTGCACCAGTCAGGGAGTCAGTGTCTTTAAGATTGCAATGTGAAAAGAAAATTTGTTTCTGTGACTTTTTTCCCTTTCTGGTGGCTCCTTGGTTTGCGTGACATTTTATTCAGAAAACTAAATTTAAAATAATTTATGAAGCCAAATGGCAGGGCGGGTGGAGTATTTGTATGTGACATTTCCTTCAAGATTTTAGAGTGTCCAAGTGTTTGCAAATGAGAAAGAAGCCGGTAGGAGAGTGAGGGAGCCCAGTTTGTTGTGAAGGCCCAAAATGCTTTTCCTGTTTCTCTGTGAGCTTTGATAACAGGATCTCAGGAGCTTTTGCCTTCCTTTTAGGTGACAGGAGCTTGTTGTCTCTTTCTGGCTGGGAAAGTAGAAGAAACACCAAAAAAATGTAAAGATATCATCAAAACAGCTCGTAGTTTATTAAATGATGTACAATTTGGCCAGTTTGGAGATGACCCAAAGGTAAGAGTCATAACTTTCTGCCTTCAGGCCTTGAGTCCTCACAACAGCATTATGATAAGAGTTCCTTGTTTTGACAACGTTGGGCTGTGGCCCTGTATCTGCCAGTCCCCTGTGTCCCTAAGAGGACTTATGCAGAAGGTATTCTTCCTTGCTTCTGTGAGAAAGGAGGGAAGATAACGTAGCCTACACTTAGGTAGCATCTGCTAATGTGCCACGCTGGCTTGTGAGCCCGTTAGGGGCAGTAGCACATAGAACGTGTGTGAGCAAAGTCCTCTCATGGCCCTTAGCACTCCTAGGCCCAGAAGCAGTTTGGCTTCTTGGGTTCATCTCCAGCTGGCTTCTGGGAAGACAGAATGTACAGATGCTGGATGTACAAGTGTGTCTACGTGTGCTGTGTGTCTTTTGCTTCCCAAGAATGGTGGAAGGTATTAACATTTGCAGACACCCAGATTGATATACTATCCATCCTGTCCCTTCCCCACAACCCCTGCTAATGTCAGGAAATGGTGGTAAAATAATTGCATACATGATTTTATTATGTTCTAAAAAGACCACTTTCGGGTCGGTGGCAGCTTTCCTCCTCCCCTGTTCTTGTCAAGGTCCCCCCATTGTAACCCTTATAGCACTTGCGAATTAGCCTTCATAATGTTTGTCACAGCTCATAATTGGATAGATTTTAAACAGATAATCACACAAAGAACATTCCTCTTCTCAATTGTAGATCTGTGAGAGCTAAGACCCTGTCTGTTTTGCCTGATACCTGGTGCAGTGGCTGGATAGAGTAGGCATTCAACAGGTACTTGTTGAATAAATGACCAACTAAGGATGTGGGGAGAAACTCAGAATCACAGTTAAAGCAAAACTAAGCCAGACGATGCCGTTCAGCACGTCCACGGCCCTGTTTTTCCTGGTCAGCTGGTACTGCCTCCCACGGTAGTCGGCCTCCCCCACCCAGCAGAATCTGTGTGTGTGTCTACAACGTGTGTGCCTTCCAGGAGGTAACAGGCCCAGAATGCTTTTGCACATACTGTGGTTGTGATTTGTAAGTACTGTCAGTGTGAATAACTCTGACACTGTCCCTTGAACTTATTTTATAAATCCATTCACCTGATTATAAAAATGTGAACCCATGAGGAATTCATACTAACAGTGGTCAAAAATGTACTTTTATAAAAGTAACGTAGCATCAGATAATGTTTCCAATGCCTGTGGGTTTTTGATTTTCACACAGCAGGGAGACAGTTGTAGGAATGTGTTGTGCTTTAGTCAGGTCTTGGTCACAGGGGCAGAGGGACCTTGTGGCTGATGAGCTGTGGTTATCCAGAAGGAGTCGCAAAGATCTGGAAGCACCGCAGGGCAAGGGCACGTGGCAGCAGCTGGCGTGTTCTGTCCAGGGCGCCTTTGGAGGAGTCCCCTTCTGCTTTCAGCCTTTATCCACTGTACCAACACATCAGGAAACCAAGATCACGGCCAGGCACGGTGAGGCAGAAGTTCTGCAGCTCCAGGGCCCCGAAGTCAGGAAGAGGGCAACAGCCGTGCTAATCAGGCTTTTAAGCCAAGCCAGCCTGACTCAGGTGGGCAGAGGGGCTTTGCAGCCTGCCCTCCCCTCTCTCACGTGCAGTCTCCCCAGGCATGACTGGGTGTCGGGGCCAAAGGAAGGAACCCTGGATCTGGGAGCGGTGAAGACATTGTGGAAGACATTTTCCTCGCCGGAGAGGAGAGGAGGGAAGTTTGGGGGGAGGCGGCAGTATAAGCAATTAGAAAAAGTACGGTCCTGAATCATGTGCAACTTTTTTGTCTTACTTAGCTTTGCCCTAACTCTGTGGTTTCTCCCTGTTACATTAATTTCTCATGTGTTCAACAAATATTTGTTCCAGGCTCTGCATTAGGCACTAGACATGAACAGGTGGCAAAGCAGGCCTGGCTTTTGCTCTCATGGATTTAACAGTCGAGTGGTGGGACAGATTTTAATCAAATATTCAGATAGCCAGCTATCTGATTATGAGTTGTGATAAATGCTATAAAAGTTATTGAAAGGTGCGGTGAGGGCATTCGATCTGGGAACCTAGACAGGTGCTCCAGACAGGAAGTATGGGGCTGAGGGAAAGTTCCCTGAGGAATCGTGTTGGCACACAGACCTATAATTATTCCATTAATTGAGTATTTGAAACACAAAGGGAGGCCAGGCCTTGGGCTGTCTCATAATACTATATGGGCTACAGTCTGGACACTTGGTAAAAGATTGTTTCTAAATTTAAGGGATATGTTGAAACTTCTGGGAAACAGGTGGTGACAAAAGGGGGGTGGGGGGACAGTGATAGTGAGATTTTTTTTGATGCTATGTGAAAACCTTAAGATTTTAAAAAGCTTTCCTGAGAGAACACTTGGGAAACAAGGGTGGAAAGACATTCACCTTGCCCTGCCATTTGGAGTAACACTCATGGTAGAATCATCTCTACATTCTGTGAAGTGTGATGCCATACTTTAACCTGAAAGCTAGTTATCTACATGGCTTCTCTTCCCAGAGTTAATGGGTTTATGCAGCTGTTAATGATGAGATTGTCGGTGTCCCCAAGGCCCTTTCTCCGACTCAAACAAGTGATTGTAATTGTTTTTGCCACACAGAGCATCTTAATTGTATTTTACAATCAAGTAAAATTGTAAGTGCTTGGACAGTCAGGCTCTACAGAGGTTGAATTCAAGAAGTTGTTTATGGACATTAGTTAGAAAGCATAATAAAAGAAGAGATTCCATTTACAGTAGCAGCAGTAAAATAATATATCCAGGAATAAACCTTATAATAAATTTGTGGAAACCATGTTGGGGCGGGGAGGCTTTAAAACTACTGAAGGACTGAAAAGAAGATTTTCATAAGTAAATTTTTGGTAGGAAGATTCAGTGTAGTTTAAAATGCCCATTTCCCTAAATTATTCTGTAAATTCAGTGAGTTCCCAATCAGAACATCAGTAGCTTTCATTTTTCCTAGAATGATACTAAATAAAATGATATTAAAATGCAGGTGGTGGGGGGAACATGGCTAAAACAAGAGAGGTTTTTAAAAGAGGAGTAATCATTGAACTGTCCCTTCCAAATGTTAAATCTCTGATCCTGGTACAGAAGTAGACAAACAGAGCAGTGAACAGAAAAGATGGTGTGTGTATGCGCACGTGTGTGTGTGTGTATAGACAGTTCAGGATGTGGCTTAATAGAAGAGAAAATGATAATTTACTTAGTAAATGACATTGGGATACCTTGTTTCAGGTAGATGAAAGATTAAAACACAAAAATGATGTTCCCCCATTCTCTCTCTGTCTCTCTCTCTCTCTCTCTGTCTCTCTGTCTCTCTCACACACAGACATACACACACACAAAATTCACTGTCCAGGTTTGCATGAAGCTGCCACTGTCATAATCTTTCTTGCTTAAAATTTTCAACATAAATGCCTGGAAGATTGCATTTTTTTAATGGAGGTCTGGAAGGAAACTAAAGTATCTGTAAAGTAAAGGTCTATTTTGTAAAGGGGGCTCATCTGTATGGAAAGTAATAACATTGCTAAGAATGTTTACTTTGTTTCAAGTAGGTTTTAAAAATTAACTCTGATTGTTTTGTCTTCCTACTTTTAGTTCTTTTCAGAATTTATCATTGTCTGTGAGCATGTTAAAGGCCTGAGTGGGAGAGAGGAGAAAAGGAATGAAAAATAGTTGCTAAAATATAACTTGAAGAGAGAATAAAAGGAAAGCTCACTATTTTAATGCTGTTTCAGACCTGTGATTGAAATTACTATCTCAACATTTGTTATTTCATTTTTAGGAAGAAGTAATGGTTCTGGAGAGAATCTTACTACAGACCATAAAGTTTGATTTACAGGTGGAACATCCATACCAATTCCTGCTCAAGTATGCGAAACAGCTCAAAGGTAAGAAAAAAAATGTTAAGAGAACTTTTTCATTCTGAAATCAGATCTTTATAATAATTTGATGATACTCAGATTACGCTTCTCAAAAGAGGACAGCAGAAAGTTCAGTGTGTGAAGTACCTAGGCCATAGCTTGCCAGACAATTCAGTATTATAGCTGTTAACCCTGTTTCCTTTTATGTATAAACAGATTCTGTCATCCAGTTGCCAAGTGATATGAGGCAGGAAAATGAGTAAGGATTTTTTAAATAGCCTAATAAAATCAGGCTTGGAGCCAGGTTTCCCATAAATGGTGGTTCAGTGTAGGTCATGCAGAAAGAGAACAGAGGTGGGACTTGGGCCCGCTCATTTGTCCTTGTTTCCCAGGCAGAAGCTCTTTGCTGTGTATTGGGGGTGGTGCTAAGCACACAGTAGGCTTTAAATAAGTACTTGTTGCTTCTCATGCATTCTTTTTTTTTTTTTCCCTTTCTATTACTAATTTGCCTTTTCTTCCCCGTTTCCAGGTGATAAAAACAAAATTCAAAAGTTGGTTCAAATGGCTTGGACGTTCGTAAACGACAGGTACATGGGTTCAAATGTTGGTTTAATTATGGTGTTTTAAAATAGGTAGGGACTTCACGTGTCATCTAATCCAAACCCCTTATTTTGTAGTGAGGAAACTGACTTGCCCCAGCTTAAGGAGCCAGTTAACAGCAGACTTGGAGTTAAAGTCCAGGTCACCTGCTTCCCGGCAGAGGGGATACCCTGCCACATCACGGTGCTATAGGATGCTGAGATCTTATCACCGGTTTGAAACATAAGTCCTAAACAATACACCAGAGAATTTTGACAAGTATATACTTAAATCCATTTCGTTTTGCAAAATTGCACACTATATATTTGCAACTTTATACTTCCTCGTAGTGGTTTTAGAGCCTTGATGTTCTTGGAGCTGAGAGGTCTAAGGAGGTGCTGGATGGGGAACAGAATGCCCGCCAGTGGAGTTGCCATCATGTAAGGAGATGGTTCAGTGCTAGGGTTCCAGCCGTTTGAAGAACTTAAGCATTTTCATTTGTATTTCATGACATAGCAATTTCTTTTTTTGCGGTACGCGGGCCTCTCGCCGCTGTGGCCTCTCCCGCTGCGGAGCACAGGCTCCGGACGCGCAGGCTCAGCGGCCATGGCTCACGGGCCCAGCCGCTCCGTGGCATGTGGGATCCTCCCGGACCGGGGCACAAACCCGCGTCCCCTGCATCGGCAGGCAGACTCTCAACCACTGCGCCACCAGGGAAGCCCGACATAGCAATTTTTGAATGTGCTGGAATTCTGATTTTTTAAGGAACAAATTAGTAGCAATAGTTAAAGTAACTTACCTCGGTACGTTTAGAAGACTAAAAACTTGCTTCTTTATAATACTTTATTTGATCACGTATAGGGAAAAATAAGCAAACTGACATTTAGATATGGCATCTAATCTCCATGCATTGGGTTAATCATAAACGTTTGCTCATCCAAGTCAAGTCACCTCTTTTTCTTGTTGAACTAGTCTGTGCACGACCTTGTCACTACAGTGGGAACCAGAGATCATAGCAGTGGCAGTGATGTATCTTGCGGGGCGTTTGTGCAAATTTGAAATACAGGAATGGACCTCCAAACCCATGTACCGGAGATGGTGGGAGCAGTTTGTGCAAGACGTCCCTGTGGATGTTTTGGAAGGTACGGGGCGTGCTGAGCTTTCTGCAGGGTGTTCCACATTTAGATCATTCTTCCCTGTGAGGAAGAATGAGTCCCAAGAATGGATTCTCCCAAACAAGTACATGCAAACTATTCTTTAATTAAATTCTCTAATGTAATGTTCATTCTATCCAAACACATAGTTTTGGTGAACTAAAAATAATGCACACCAGTGCTGTGCACACCAGGGATTGGTGGATTACAAATATGACAGCCACATATTGGCCCTTGTAGAGGAATTGCACCTGCAAGGGAAATGGGAGCATGTTTTTTTCTAGGTAGAATTTTATTTAAAATATCAATTTGTGGCAAATGTCATTGTTTCCTATCATTTAGACATCTGCCACCAAATCCTGGATCTTTACTCACAAGGGAAACAACAGATGCCTCATCACACACCCCATCAGCTGCAGCAGCCCCCATCTCTCCAGCCCACACCGCAAGCGCCACAAGTGCCACAGTCACAGCCGTCTCAAGGCTCCGAGCCGCCCCAGCCCCCGCAGAAGGACTCGCAGCAGCCAGCCCAGCCGCAGCCACCGCCACCGGCCCAGCAGCCCAAGAAACCGTCCCCGCAGCCTAGTCCCCCCCGGCAGGCGAAGCGCGCCGTGGTGAGTGCGCCAGGTTGGCACTGGGTGCAGCCGGCTTCCCGTGGCAACACCCCACCTGTGTGTGTTCCCCTTTCTGAGGCAGCACACGGAACACCAAAAGCGGAGAGTGACACGATCCACCTCCCCGTCTGCCTGTATGGCCACAGGCAGCCTGACAGCTGGCGTGGTCAGAGGAGAGGTACCTTTTGGAGCCAGGATGGCTCTGTCCTCCTCCAGCCGCTGCTGCCTGTGTCAGGGCCCCAAAACGTGCCCGGGTGTAGTTTCCACATCTGCACACTGACTGCCGGAATAGGTGTCTTCCATGTCTTTAAACGACACGGGGGTATTTGTAGAAGTTTCTCCCCGTGGTAGCAGCCGCGCCAGTGGAGGAAGCCGTACGTTGTGACGCAGACCCCAAGGAAGCCCCGCGGGATAGAGCTGGTCAGCAAGCACCCTCACCACGGTTAAGACAGCCCGATGGAGGGCGCGAAACTTAGTGCTCAGAACTCACTAGTCAGAAAAGTTAGTAATTCTGCCTGCTGTCTGATTTGAAAGGGGAAGAGGAAGGAGGCAGAAATGATCTGTTTGCTCTGCAAGTTCAAGCCAAAATTAATTTTTGTCTGAGTCCACGTTCTGTCTGTGATTCTGTTCAGTGCCTGAATAATCAGTTTTTCCTCACTGCATCTAGGGCCTTGGTTAACAGTTGTGTATTTTCTTTTGTAACAGGTTGTTTCTCCCAAAGAAGAGAGCAAAGCATCAGGTAATTTTACGTTCTCGTGTTTCGTTTTTTAGTTTTATATGTTGTTTATCAAGACTTTAAATTCTTAGTCAAAACTTGTTTCCTTTCAGATTTAGATTGGCCTTAAAATTTAACGTTAGAGCCCATCAAAAACTTTACACTAGCTGCGTTGTCTTCTCTGTGTATTCCCTGACTGTATATTTTTGGCTTGTACTTTAACAGTATCAATACAGAAAAAAAAAATTAGTGGCAATAAAAATGTGCTTGGGGGCTTCCCTGGTGGCGCAGTGCTTGAGAGTCCGCCTGCCGATGCAGGAGACGCGGGTTCGTGCCCCGTTTCGGGAGGATCCCGCATGCCGCGGAGCGGCTGGGCCCGTGAGCCATGGCCGCTGAGCCTGCGCGTCCGGAGCCTGTGCTCCGCAAATGGGAGAGGCCACAACAGTGAGAGGCCCGCATAACGCAAGAAGAAAAAAAAAAAAAAATGTGCTTGGTAACATAAGTCATCCCTTGGTATCCACGGGGAATTGGCTCTAGGACCCGCCTTGGATGCCAGAACTCGCAGATGCTTGGGTTTCATAGTCCGCCCTCCCTGTCCACGGATGCGAAGGGCCAACTGTATATCAAAATATAATTAGGAAAGTAGGCGAACTGCTGCAGCAACATTTATTTTTGGAGGTTAGTTAAGCCCACCACAGTCGACAGAGTGAAGGGCCCCGGGCACCCCCAGACTGAGCAGCAAGCAGCAGAGCGATGGGTAGAAAGGATCGGAGCCGCAGTAGGCGTGCTGCCCTGCTGCTTACGGGGGGCAGACTTCTTTTAAACATGTTTTTTTCCCCATATTTGTGGAGCCCAGAGTTGATTAACTTGTTTCTGTATTGGAAACTAACAAAGTGTGAGCAAAACCTGAAAGATCACAGAGGAGAAAACCAGAAGTGTTTTGTCTCCGGGTCAGCCTGTAGTACTGAACCCTGTGCTGGCACAGACCATGTTTACTCATTTCTGTTTCTCTGTCACTTAGTTCCAGGGTAGGAACCCAGTGAATTATTTATTGAACTATTGCGAGATCGTCAAGTTACAGTAAAGCTCCTTTTTCTCAGGATCTTTGGGGGGATGATGAATTCATTACAGGGGAGATTTGTTTAGCTCCAGATGGGCAAACAGTAAGTGCGAGACACAGAAGAGGGGGTTGCACTCCGTGCCACGTGGATGTTGGGTCAGCTGAGCTGGCGCTGTGTCTTCAAGAGGCAGAAATGAGCCCGGGTGGCCTTGGAGGGGGACTTGCCTTGGGCAGCAAGGACTGACAGGGTGGAGCCTTCAGGCAGAGGAGCAGAGTGAACAGTGGGGTGGAGAATTTGGGAGACAACAGAGAGGGGAGTCTTACTGGACTGTGAAGGGTTAAAAAGGAGTAGCTTTTGCTAGGACTGAAAATGTGCTAGAAGCAGGTGATAGCGCCCACCTGGTGGAGGGTGGATTCTGCATAGGCAGGGGAGCCAGTGGAGGCGTTTGAGCAGGAGAATGGCACGGTCTGAGTTCATTGTAGAGAAAGTTCCCCTGGCAGCAGTAATGGCACAGAGGGTGGGGAATGGGGAGGAGCCTGCGAGCTCCAGAGTGAGACCTGGTGTCGGGGGTGCCTTGGGGCCTGGAAGCAGGACCCCACTGTGCTCTGGGTTGCAGAGGGCTGGTGAGCACTTGACATGGGGCCTACTCCAAAAACACCACGTGCCCTCAGTGCAGAAGACACACCGATCTCTAAGAGTTAGAGAAAAGAACATTAAAAATCTCATTAATAAAATTCTACATTGATTCCACATTAAGATGATAAAATTCTTGATAATACCAGGTTGAATCAAAGACCGTATTAAAATTAATTTCACCTCTTTGTACTTTTCAGCGTGGCTACTAGAAGATGTAAAATTGCCTATGTGGCTCTCCTTATATTTCTGTCGGACAGCACTACCTAGATGACCTCAGCTCAGCCATCTGTGGGAGGGGCTGGAGGGGGGCACCTGCATGAGAGGGGTGGGCTGCTCGGTCTCGGGACGGGGCCCAGGAGCCTGCTCCGCAGTTTGGCAGGAGAGATGGAAGGCAGAGGCATAGATAGATCTGCAGCTCCTCTGCCTAGAGACGGGGGATTTGGTCTCTGAGGAAGAGAATAGAGAGAGGGATGTCCCTGGACCTTGAATTCAGCCTGTGTCTGGGACACAGGAAGCCAAGAATGTTGAGCAGTGCCAGAGCAGAAGCAGAGCAGAGCGGCGTACGAGCCAGAATAAAGTGAGTTTCAGGAAGAAAGAACCAAATCATACAAGCGAAAAGATGGCATTCTTTTTTGATTGTGTGCGCACACTCTCTACCGTCACAAACGGAAGATGCTGGATGTGGTGTAGCCTGTCTTGGCGACCTAGGATTGTCATTGAGGATGCTGGTTACATGCAGCCGCTCAACCCTAAAGGATGGGCTCTGTCCTTTGCCCCAAGCGGTCCCAACTACCTTGCTTTTCTGTCCATTCGCCAGCCTCCAGGTCTCTACCGACGCCAGTTCAGGTGTGCTGCTATAACTAGGAGTAAACATTTGTGAGAGAGAAAACAAACTTAAGTGTGCCTAGACAAGAGTTAAAAGGTGCCGGCTTCGGGCTTCCCTGGTGGCGCAGTGCTTGAGAGTCCGCCTGCCGATGCAGGAGACGCGGGTTCGTGCCCCGTTTCGGGAAGGTCCCACATGCCGCGGAGCGGCTGGGCCCGTGAGCCATGGCCACTGAGCCTGCGCGTCCGGAGCCTGTGCTCCGCAAATGGGAGAGGCCACAACAGTGAGAGGCCTGCATAACGCAAGGAAAAAAAAAAAAAAAAAAAGGTGCAGGCTTCTCCTGGGAGTACTTGGGGCCTTTCTCGGTGCTCTGTGTGTTAGTGAGGACCCCGACGGGTACCACTTGGTAACTGAGATGCAGTCTGCTGCTCTCGTGTCATTGGAGGGCTCGTCTTAAGTGGTCAGGAGGAAGTTGGGCAGAGGTGGAAAATGGGCTGGCGAACTGTAAGAAGCGAGAGGGTTTTTACTTTCGGAAGGAGGCGAGAGGCGTGGGGTGGCAGGAGCTGGAGGGGGGATGTATTTGTTTCATTTGTTTTGTTCTTTTAAAAGGATGGTTTAGCTGGTGCCTTCCTCAGCTTCCCTTAAAGCCTTGGTCATATCAGCCTTTTCCCCCAGAAAATTCCTTAACAGTGCATTTTTCTTTTTCTCCTCTCTCGCTCTCTCTGACATACTTATTCTATATGAAGAGTAGCTTTTTAATCTACTTTTTCTTTTCAGAACCACCACCACCTAAAATTCCCAAAATTGAGCCCCCTCACCCTCCATTGCCTCCAGCCCATCCACCTCCAGGTAAGTGCTGCCTGCAGGCAGCTGGGAGGGCCAGCTTTTCTCTCTGCCTTTTTGAAGGGCACACTTGGGAAATCCTGGGGAGGATTTATGGAAGAATTTCAGAAATTTAGAGAGACGTTAATGACCTAGGATTTTTCAAAAAATTGTTTTTTTCACAACCAGATAGCTTGAGGATGTGAATTCTAAGTATATCTGAATATTCTCTGACCTCTCGCATCCAGAAATGGTGGAGGATAAATGACTTTAGAATCAGTTTTAGGAAAACAAAGCCCTGCCAACTTAGGAACATTGTCGAGATCCGGGCAGATCGCTGTCGACCTTAGACTCCAGGCTCTCGCATCGGCTTCCCGTTGGCAGGGCATCTTCTCAGTACCCTTTGGAGAGTAAGCAGTTGTTCATGGAGTCACGGGGAGAATAGAGTGAAAAGGCCTTCACAGGCACACAGTGAACTGGGACGCTTCCTCAGCGTTATTAAAAATAGAGGAGAAAAGTTGTAAAGAACTTTCATTCTTCAGCTATGGCGACACTTTGGAAGGTGATGTGTCCAACGAGAGAAGGCAGGAGTTAGGGTGTGTGTGCCAGAAGGTGGGAGATACTCCAGCAACTTCTGAGCTTCTGGGGGCTTCAGCTCTTCCGGTCAGCTGCTGGCCGCCAGGGAGCCGGGGCGGGGAGCTGAGCCCCCCGCCACACAGGGCACGGGCCGGAATGCCGCTCGCGTGGGCCGTTGGGGTGTCAGAGGCCGGCCCGGCGTGTGTTTAACGCCACGTCACTCATGTGACCACCTCTCAGGCGTCCTGCCAAACGCCAGTGCCGCCCGCAGATGGTGCTGCGTCCTGGCCCTGGCCCTGGCCTCGCTGGAGGCAAGACGGGCAGAAAGAAGGGGCCCCGCGCACGTTTGTACTAGAAAGAGGGCTGGGGGTCTGGGCGGAAGGGACTCCGTGCGCCCCCGGGACTGCCCGTGTCTGGTGCGCTGGGGAGCGAGGAGGGAACACCCAGAGTGGCTGAAGGTGAGGTGCAGGGCCTGCGTGACAGCACATGAGCCGCTGGCTTTGGGACACGGGCGCGGGCCGTGCTGTCTGGCCACAAAGGTGACAGCTGCTTGCCGCTCCTCTGGAAGACGGCCCACGGTGCTGTGACAGGGCCAGGAACCCCCGGGGTGGCCGTGAGCTGTCGGGGGGGGGG